ATAGTTGAAGCACTAATGATAATAAATATAAGGTTAATAACGATCAGTATTTGTTATTGTTTGTCCCAAGTATAAACATAAAAGTATGTATATTAATGCATTATTATTGTTATTTACTTATTTGCTTGTTTTACTCTACCTCTCCTGGCAAGCACAGCACAGATTCTTCGGCCATCAACTTTTGACTGAATTCAACGTCTGAAGAAATATCCTTGAACTTAGGAATATCGATACCAACCTAATACGAAATTATGTTTAGTAAAATGCAACACAAATAAAACAAAACAAACCAAAACAAAATAGAAATAGAAATAGAAATAGAGCATATATTTTATACTACTACTACTACTACTACTACTATTATTATTATTATTATTATTACCATCATGTACATAGCACCCTGGGGTTTAACAGGTGAAAGACCTGGAATCTTGGACACAGCATCAACACTGATTTTGGTATTCAACTAAATCAACATATAGATATATAATACACAACATTAATACATATATTATGTGACCAAGAATATCGAATCCTTTACCTCGAGCTGCTTAATGTTTCCAGCATAATAAGACTCGGGTGTCTTGAGAAGGATCTCGGGTAAAGCAGCCTGGATTACTGAGTTGGGACCAAGAATGATCTGAGAAAGGTTCAAGAGACCTTCCAAGATCTCTGCAAATGCACCGTGACGGTCATGTACAGTGATCCATCCCACTCTCCAGCCAGGAACCATCCACTTCTTTGCCAGTCCACCCACAGAAAGAATGGGTACATCGGTTGTCAAGGTGGCCATGGGGTAAAATGTGTTGCCCTTGAATACGAGATCCCAGTAGATTTCATCAGCAATGATAGGAACATGGTGCTTAGAAGCAACTGCCAAGATGGCCTTCAGATGTTCCTTTGAGTACACAGATCCACAAGGGTTGGAAGGACTACAGTATTGTTTGTTTGTGTTTGTAAGTATGGTTTATATATAGTTGTTTATACATAGTTAACATGTTGATCTATTATCATTAATAATACTGTGCTTCCATACTTACTTGTTGACCAAGATACAAGCAGTCTTTGAATCAATAAGCTTTTCCAATTGAACAACATCCACTTCCCAGTTCTTTTCAGGCTGTAGAACAAACAAAGAGAGAGGTTAGGTATTGAATACTAGATATCCACATACGTACATACATACGTACATACATGCATACATACATGCATACATACATACTTACATACATACTTACATACATACTTACATGTATGTATGCATATGTGTACGTTATTGTTACTGTTCTAATTTACTCACCACAAGATCATAGTACTTTGTCTCAACATAGCGAGTCTCAGCCAAACTAGCATAGAGTGGGAAACCAGGACGAGGTAAAAGGATATTTTGCCCACGGTCACACAATACATTCAAACACATCTCCAGGGCACCTGAGCAACCATTGGCCACAATTACATCATTGGCTGTCAAAGGAGCTTCAGGAACGCCAAACTTTGTTGCAATGGCTTGACGAGCAGCCAAAGTACCTGGTACACACAAATATAAATAAATAAATAAATAAATAAATAAATATTTTTTTATATTATATTATATAGAAAATATATAAGAAGAAAAAAGTTTCCCACGGTAATATTAATACTAATACCAATAAAGATTTATAGTTCATATATATATTCTTGATGTGACAAGTAAATCCATGTTCTTATTATTCTTTTTATAGTATATGTACAATAGAATTCACACGAAAAAAAAAACAGAAAGTTTACCATGAGCAGGTGGGTAGCCATTAGCTTTGAATGTGTTCAATTGATGTACAATGGCTTCATTTGCACTCTTGTCGACATTAAAGTTACCGAAAATAGTTGGGTCGCCTACATTTAAAAAAAAAGAAGAAGAATACCAAATTATATCTAGTGATTAATTACTGTCATTGTCGTCGTGTTGCTGTTGATATTGTCGTCGTGAAGGTTGTTATCGTTATCATTATCGCTATTCTTAACGCTGTAGGTGTTGGTTGGGATCATTGTACTGACCGACAGATAAACTGATGAATTCTTTGGTAGCCTTGGGATCCAGCTTGAGCTTATCGACGATTTGACGGATAGGATTGTGTGCTCTTTTGGCCACGTCAGAAGAGCGAATCGACCACTTTTTACGATCAGAACTCATTGTAATATCTTTTGTTTGATTTGTTAATAGGGAGGATGAAAGGAAGAAGGAAGAAGAAAAAAGGAAATAAAATAAAGAAGAGGTAAAAGAGAGAGAGAGAAAGGAAGATGGGTGTAAAGATGTATAGATATAGAATATATTGTAGATGGATAATATTTATACATAAAATTATACAATATAATAGAGCCAAAAAGTTTAATGAATTTTTTTGACTCATTTTTCACTAATCGGGTTATAAATCAAGCGCAGAAATTATTCTGCTCGTATTTAGGCGAAAATTGAAAAAACCAATGATTGTCCGTAGGGAAATATAATAAAGGGGAATTGTACACACAGAAACAATATAAATATTACAGTCCAAAGTATTCAATGATTTTAAAGAGGTTTTTTAGTTTATTTGTTTATTTATATGTATGTATGTATATATGTATATTTGAATATTTACTATTGTAATTTTTTTTTTCATAAAAGCAACTTTGACCATGCCTCAACATATCTATATTAGTAATACGCACAAATAAATATATAAAGTAAGTAATTAATCAAACGAGTATTAAAAGTGTGATAATCTTGGCTGTAGACAGCTGTCTGTTTATCCAAGTAATAATTAAGGTCTGACTTACTCTTTGCTGTCTCGGTCATGATCTTCAATAAAGCCAAACTTGACCAAGATGTCTCCAGACACGACGTCCTTCTCACTACGCTTTGACAGATTGAACCAGCATGATTTGTTATCTGGATCAAAGAAGTGGCGAGGTACACCATCTGCAATACCACCAGCATTACGGTCGAATATGTTCTTGAATGGCAGAGTAATTTCTCCCAAAAAGTCGCGTCCAAGGGTGTCACTATCCCAGATAGTGATTGTCACTCCATTAGGAACCTTTCCAAGCTTGATGGGAAAATCAAAATCAAAGTCCCAGACAGGATCCAAAGTTTGCTTGACCACTTTTGTTGTGAATTTTTTGTCGCTGTAAATAATGTTAGTATTTTATATATATACATATAGTGCCTTGCTTGCTTTCTCTTTCTCTTTTTACATTAAATATAAATAATTTATTTTAATCATCTTATTTACTTTATGCGAACGACGGCATAAGGGTCAGAACTTCCGTTTCGGTCACTATTTATTATTTGTTTATGTATTTAGTATTTGCTTCATATATATATATGCATGTCTTGGTCTTTCTTCTTGTTACTCACGCTGCAGCAAGATCTCTGGCGCCAATGATAGCTACTCTGAGGACAAGGTTTGACATTTGATATTTGAGAACCAGAAAATAAAAAAGTAAATAAAAAGAGAGAAAGGAAGAAAGAGAAAGGGAATTTGAAGAGAGAGGATAAAAGTGTTTCGAATTTGAAGGCCTGTCGTATTGATGAGCAAATAAAATCACATAAAATAGATTAATACAATACAATACAATACAATTTAACCAATTGCTTATTTTGGGTTTCCAAGGTAGTACATTTTGAAATTATTTATAGCTTAATTTATGTCTTGCATACATACATTTATATCGGTTGCCTAGATATAAATTTATATATAAAATTGTTTAAATGTTAATGTGTAAGAAAAAAAAAATGAAGAGAGCAGAGAAAAAGAAAATCGTTGGTCGTATACTCCTTTAGTTAAACACAAACAGAATCTCTTATAATAAAAATAAGAAATAGAATAGGGCTACAGTATTTTCGGTTATATTTGAAAACTATATTTTATTTTTGGCCAGTCTCCAAAAAAAAAATATATATATAGAGAACTAACCTCTTTTTAGTTTAGAAAAAAAAACAGAGAGTTTTTTGAGGTGCTCTTCATGACTCCGGACCTTACAACTTGACGTTCCACAAGACCCATCTCCCAAACCGTACACGAAGATACATGATATATATAGTAACTATGTAACATAAAATTTCCAAAATGAAAAAAAAAATATTGTACGTGTCGAAGGCGAAAATACACCTTCGACAGGAAGTAAAATGGGAAATAACGTCCCATATACAGCATACTGAACAGTCATATATACATAGCTACTTTTCATAAAAATAACAGTTATGTTAATGTGTTATTTTATTTCTTTACTTCTATGACATTGTCCTTTACTAATACAAGTACACATATTTATAAAAGGAGCTATAGAACTGTTTGGATCCCTTCAATCATGCAAGTTTATCAGGGTGTGAGTTCACCAATTGTAGTTGTTGTTCTTTGGATATCGATCATTAACTCGAACTTCAGTTACATTTACGGGAAATCCCAAAAAAAAGATATTGTAAACCCATATTAACATGTCAACTTTTTGAAAGAGTATATTGGGCCTGGGAGTGAATGAATAATCGTTGCAAAATAATAAATGCTCTGTGAAAGGAATCTTTTTTGGTCTTCCGAGTCATTTGTTGATTGGTAGATCCAAAGACAAGCATTAGGAGACGGTTGAAAAAAAAACTCCTTCTCCAAGAGCAGTATATTTAAGGTGCTTGTAATCCAATGATATTTTGTTTTAGTAAAAATGGTGTAAGATAAAAAAAAGACACACATTATGATGGGATTTTAAAGATCAAGTACTCTAATTTTTTTTTGAATGGTTTGGGGGAGTGGTCTGGTGGAATGCCAAGTTGTAAGATCTGAGGTCGTGAAGAACACCTTTTGCCTCTTCCGCTCATTGGTCCATTTGCTTTGCTGGAGAGACGAATATACTTTCAACAACCGAATTGGTCTTTCAGAAAATCTCTCTCATCAATCGAAGTAATCGAATTCGAGTTTCATTGCTTTCGTTTCCTAATGATTTTCTCGCGTATCCAACAACTTTGTAACCGTCGTTTTTTAAAGCATTGACATTGGTTTGGTAATTATATAAATACTTGGCAATATTATTGGCAGTATCGACTATAGAAGTATTAGTTAATTTAAATATTTATATTTTTTTAAAAATCTTATCTTGCCCAAGTCTTTCTCTTTCATAACATATAAATTTCTCGCCTGTACTTTCTTATTGTCGCAGGTGAAAACTCTCTTGTCAGGAGAGTCAAGCAGATCTACTTTGGATGACTTGAGCCACTTTCCAAAGCTGCTGACTGTTTTCTTGTCAAGTAGATTTGTGTGCTTCATTAAAAGCGCCAAAATTTCTTTTGTCTCCATTCTTTTGCATTTGTAGATTTCTTCATTAAGAGGATTATATGGTAGAATAGCGCTGTTAACAAAGTCAACAAGTTTGCTTTTTTAAAAAGCTTCCTCTTCTTTAGCTAACATCGGGCTTGTTTTTTAGGAGAACCTTACGGGCAGCCTGGCGGAACATCCTGGGCATCCTGGACAGCCTGGATAGCCTGGGAGTATGCAGCGTCATTCTTCTTGCCGGTATCGAATAATTTGATCTGGTCCCTAATGATACAGAATATCTGTATAAAGGCCTTCTTTTGTGCTTTGCAAAAATGAGTGGATGGGGATTACTTACCAGCTGGTAATGTCAAACTATGGGAACATTAGGTAAAAGAAAGAGAAATATATGATACACGTAAGAAGGCCAATTAATCGTAAAATAGCAAGCTAGGTTGCGTTACGCCTTAATGACAACAACTCCTTATGATCTTCTACATATGTGATTAATTATTATTTCTTTCTTGTCAAGTCTAAATGTAGGACGCAAACTGCTATTAATTGAATATACAGGATTTGATTTTCGTATGAGACAGTATTTTATTATTAAACTGACTAAAAATTGGTCGTACTTCCTAAAAGAAGAAGAGACAAGTCTATAAAGAGATTGGTAAACACAAAGTGTAGGGCCAAAGTAGTAAAGTTAATGCATACAATGAATATATTGTATTTTTTCAGGACACACAATTTTACCCTGGAGGATTAGAGAAAGACACCAGACCCCGGACATGTAGTCACAATCTATTAGTCCGGTTATATAGAAACGTCGTGCCCAACCAGGAAATGTCGTCCCCGTAAGCTTACCGGTGACAAAGACAGTGTAGTACCCGACATTTGGAAAAACCGAATGCATAAAGGTCGCTAATAATACTTTTTCTTTTTTCAAAAAAAAAGTACTGCCAAGATTTAGAATGCCGCCAAAAATATATATAAGTTTAACGTGAGTTTCAGGAATAAGATACTCTACCTTGTCTTTGTCCTTCCTCTTCTTCTTTCTCTCACTCACTTTCCTTTTTTTCCTTTCTTCAAGGCTCATTTATTTATCAACTGAAATGAGACTGATCCTCGGAATATTGATCCTTTTAGCCATTTTGAAGCTCGTGACCTGTCAAGGTAACCATGACGATTTGGATTAGTCTGTTCACATATTCAAAACCCCCCCTTCTTCTTTTGATTTTATTTCTTTCCTTTTTGTCTGCCTTTTCCATTGCTAATAAACCAAAAATAAAAATAAAAATAATTTATACTTGTATTCTATATTTATATTTATATTCATATGTGTATGTGTATGTGGGTTTATTCCAACTCTAGATGATGGGTCCGACCTTGGTGATGATGGATCAGACTCCGATCATCCGTCTGATGATCTTTCCGACACATCCTCTGAAGATGCAGGCACCTCAGATACTTCAGATGGCTCAGACATGACAGACACAACAGACGCAACAGACGCAACAGACAATCTGGGTACCTCGGACAATACCTCACCTACCGATAGTGGATCAGTTAATCCAACAGCCTGCACCGCTTTGAATCAATGGTACACATCTCTAAATGGTACCGGGTGGGCGGCCCGTACCGGATGGGGTACTACTGATATGTCTACTTGCTGCACCTGGTATGGCGTTGAGTGCAGTATTCTCGGTCAAGTAACCAAAATGTAAGAATTTTATATGCTTATAGATAGATAGGATAGGCTATTATCACTCTTATTATTCCCTTTTTTTGAAATAAAGACAAAACTAACCAACAAACTCGATAATAAATTATCCTCTCATAGCCGATTGGGGTCAAATCGTCTCCAAGGTCAATTGCCTAACAACCTCAACATGCTTCCTGATCTTACAATGATGCAAGTATATATAAGGATGTGTACTGGTTCAGTATCCTAGATACGAGACATTATTATTTTACTATTACTGGACACCAATAGATCAAGAAATGTGCCTAATTTTTTTCCCTTCTTCTATGTAGTGATTTAAGTAATAACCGCCTTTATGGACCTCTTCCAGACACACTGTCTTCTGTTACCAAGCTACAGTCATTGCAAGTATATTTTATATCCTTTTCTTGTTTCTTTTTTTTTTCTTTTTGTATACAAAGATAAAAATAGTACAGTTACATATTTAATGTACATGTTCTACATACATAATCACGTCACGCTTCCAAATATTAACCCTTTTTTTCTTCTGCTTCCTCTTTTGTATCTACACACACACAGTAATGCTAATTTTAACGAACTGAATGGCACACTTCCGACTGCCTTTGGTAGCATGCTTGCCTTGACTAGCGTGTAAAGTTATCACATTCATTCACAGCAGAACGTTTCTAATTGGTTCATGTAAATAATTTTTTTCTCATATAGTTACATGAGAAACAACTCTTTCACTGGCACAGTTCCTGACAATTGGGAAAGCTCTTTAACATTAACAGGTAAAATTATTTTGAGTTTTGATTTACTTCTAAAGGAAGAAGAAGAAGAAGGAAAATAATAATATAACTGACTGACTGACTGACTGACTGAATCTTTCTTTCTTAATTCTTGATAGATCTCTACCTTGGATCAAACAAACTTACTGGTCCATTTCCAACCGCATTGACCAAGTTAACTAAACTTGAATACTTGTATGTAATTACTATTGCGGGTGCTATTACTACCATTATTAAGAAAATGTTATTGTTGCTGTTATTATATGGCTTTTCTTTGTTTATATTTGTCTCACCCAACGTATCTTGTGCTTATGTATATATGTGGCGCTTTAGGGTAATTGATAATAATGGCTTCAATGGCGCACTTCCAAATGAGATCGGCAATCTGGTGAACCTCTTTACACTGTGAGTGTACAACTATTAACCAAATTATATAATTAGATATACATGTGCTTTTCTACACCAAATTTCTCACCTTTATTTTTAACGTACAGCAATCTGAAGAATAACAACTTTTATGGACCTATCCCTTCAACCATTGGAAGTCTTGTTCGATTAAACACCTTGTAAGTAAGATATAGATAATAATATTTGTAAGACTTGTTACATGATTAAATATATAATGTATTTATATATATGTGTGTGTGTGCGTGTGTATGTATTACAAAGAACATTGTCCTCTCAAGCGCTTAATGGTACCATCCCGGATACTATTTATAATCTTGTGAACCTTGAAAAACTGTAAGTTGTAAACTGACTATCTTAATTGAATAGCCTGCGTATATATATATATATATATATATATATACTCTTCAATTGTGATGGATCTGAAAGCAAAGAAACCTTTATTGTAAAAGAATCTTTGCCCTTCACCCCTCTCCCCTTCCTTATTCTATATTTATGTATATACATATATCTAATGCTATCTTAGTGATCTTTCAAACAATCGCTTGACAGGAAATCTATCTCCTAAAATCGGAAGTCTGGTCAAATTGACAAAAATGTAAGTCTTACAAAATAATTAAATAAATAAAGAAGGAAAGAAGTACTTTTTTTTTCAAAAATATTAATTTCTCTCTCTCTCTGTCTTTGGCTTATGTTTATTTATTTATTTATTTGTATGTAAAAAACAAAGTATGATGAGCCACAATGGACTCACAGGGGATATTCCTGATCAGTTTGGATCCCTCACACAGTTACAGTCCGTCATGCTAAACTATAATAGTTTCAATGGCCAGTTCCCTGCCACCACAGCACCTTTGCCCCTTGGATTCTGTAACATGATTCCAAACCAATTCCAGACCTGTCCCGACAAAAGTGTCCTCGGTAATGTCGAAAGTCTCGCCTTCCAATGTTCGGTAGATTGTGGGCTGATTACCGGCACTACTAAGAAAAAGAGCAGCGGCGTCCAGGTTACTCATTCGATTGGCAAGATTTGCATGGCTCTTTTTGTCAGTATCATTGCATTACTTCTTTAGAAGAGAAAACAATAGCAGTAATATATTTATAAGTATTGTATTGTATTATATTATATTTTACTGTAATTTAAAGCTTCTCAAATTTCCCCTTCTCTTTAATGTAATTGATCCATGTATTTCTATTATATACAAGCTTCTGACCCTCGATAAATGTATAAATAAAGAGATCCTCGATATAGACAAGAAATCGTATTTAATCATATTTATTATATAAGATACATACATACATTGTAAGCTAATCTAAATCCTAATACCATATTTGCATTTTCTATATTATTACTATTATTACTATAGCCATATATATATAGATATAGAGCTAGTAAATATACTTTATATTAATGAATGAATGAATATACTAAAAATCAAGTAATATTAAAATTAAAATAAATGAAGAAGTAGAAGAAGAAGAAAAAGAAAAAGAAGTGCCTGTTGGTTTATATAGATTTGTAGAAAGATAAATTACCAGGATAATAATGATGATAATTAATTATAATTATTTAATATAATCTAAAGACCTAATATCATGTAGAGCTAGATACAGGTATAAAGCCATATGAAGAACAAAGACACACGGGAAGAATAGGAGATTTGAATAATAATTTAAATAAATGCACACAAATAAAAAAAAGGTTTCTTTATATTTCAAATCAACTAACCAAAAGCAATGTCAAAACCAGAAACTGCAACAGCAACTGCAACAGCAATAGTAACAGCAGCAGTAATGGTAGTAGTACTCAATTGAAAAATAAAAAGTTAGTAGTAATAAAAGAAGAAATGACTGATATTTAGACGATAATTATTGTTACCAATATAGTCGTTTTCTTCGTCTTCGTCTTCGTCTTATTTTCTTCTTCTTTTGCTCTATTTAATACAGATTATAATTTGCAATTGGTTTGTTTATTTTGTAATGTATTCATCTATCACAAGAGTTGGTTCGATTCAGGTTGAAACCTGTCACCTAATATCAAAGCTAATTTCTTATTTTTATTTGTCCTAAATCAAAAATCATGGTAACCCAGCGTACATACTACATTACACCACATCTCACCACATTTTTTTTGATGTCTTACATAACATTAGAGATCTTCAATACATTTAGGCTTTCAAATAATAATAACGATAATAAAGATCCTGTATAATTATAACTTGATCCAATTTGTATGTATGTTTGGCTATACATATCACCTTCCTTTCTCTCTTCCCTTCCCTTTCCCCTTTCTCAAAGTCAATTCCCAGCACGTGTGATGGGAGGTTCTTTTTAGTTTTGCAGTGTATTTTGCGACTGTTATTTACTTGCGCAGAAGCACGAGTTTAAACTAGCAAAATAAAATAAAATAAAATAAAATAAAATAAAAACCTTCTCCTTTCAATGATATTGGGATTTTACCAAGCATAATTCCCTGGAATCCTCTTTATTTATTTTCTTAGAAAAATAGGCAAAAATAGGGTCAATAATCTCGACAATAGGTGTTTACTTACACTTGATATATCTATCTCTCATATACTCATATATATATGTATATATAAGTATAAATCAACAGAGAGAGAAAGAGAGAGAAATATATAGAATAGTTGCCCTGACAGCAGTTTCTTGCCGCGTTTGGAACAAGGCAAAAGGGTTGTATATATATATATTGATCGGCAGTCTGACCGGGAGATATATATATATATATATTTACATGTACATATATCTGTATGTGTGTTCTAATCAGATATATGTCCAATATTTTTGTGTGGGATCAAAAGGGGTTTAGGCCCTAAACAGAGTCTGGGTTCTCTCCTATTAGCAGACAAATATCAAGTCAAGATAAGAAAAGAAAAGGAAAAGATGGTACTTAGAAAGACGATAAATACATGTATGTGTCTATGTGTGTATGCAAGGCCTACTACTTTGAAAGGAGAAGTGGAATGCAAGGGAGGGTTAAAGAATAAGAGCAAACCAAATAAATAAACACATAGAAAAGAATAAGATCAGGGAGTGTAGGCGACACATCAAAGGAAGACAAAAAAAAGCCATTTTGGCTCAGGGGGAAGTAAAGAGATTGAGAGAACAAGGATCTCCCTTTCTACCATTACTTATAATACTAATACTAACACTAATACTAATATTAAATATATTATATATATATAAAAAAAGGTCTATATAATCTCAGGTCTTCAAGTCAGTGGTTTTGGGATCGTCCTTCACTTTATCCAGTATCCTTTCCTTTCAATCATCATGAAGTTCATTAGCACCACTCTCATTGTCGCCGCCTGCTTTGCCTTTGTTTCTGCCCAGCAAAACCCACCAATCATTGCCATTACCTCACCTTTGATGGGTACCAAGTACAAGGCTGGTCAACAAGCCATTCTTGCTTGGGTTAACCCAAAGGTCCCCAGCATTTCGCAGATCGTCCTTGCCCGTGGCCCATCTACAGGTCTCCAGCCCATCACAGTCCTGGCATCCAACGTCAATACCGCTGACGGCAAATATGTCTGGAAGATTCCTGATGATATCGAAGGCGGTGATGATTGTAAGTTTCTACACCAAAAATAAAAATAAACAGAATTGCACTTACACAATTACTAAACATCTTTATCTAATTTTGTTTCGCAAAAATAAAGATGCGTTCGAGTGCGGTACTTCGCCCGATATTGCGTTTGCAGGTCCATTCACTATCGAAGGCAACGGTGGTGCAGTTGCAGCAACAAGTAACAGCTCTAGTGCACCTGCTGCCGCACCCGCCAAGGCTGCCTCTCCTGCTGCTGCTGCCGCCGCTCCTGCTGCTGCTGCCTCGAAAGCTCCTGCTGCTGCCGCACCTGCCAGTAGTGGATCGGCACCTGCTGCTGCCGCCCCTGCCCCTGCCGGTGGTGCCGGTGCCACCCCCGCTGCTGGCGCTGCAAGTGCTAGTAAGGCTGGATTCCCAGTTCCTAGTGCTCAGGCTGTCAAGGCCTCGTCGGCTTCTACCACTGAACTCTTGACCGGCAAGACTGTGCTTGCCATTGGTGCAGTCGCCCTTATTGTCCAAGCACTTTAGAGCTTTAATTTACCTTATCTTATTTTATTTTGCTGTCGTTTCTTATCATCTCATCATTTAGTACCAATCTATTCTATTTCTCTCATTACCTCTATTCTATCTCATCTATTTATCTACCTATCCATTTATCTATCTATTTCTTTCATTCATTCTTCTTCTTCTTATATACTTATACCCAAATAGCATAAAGTACAAGTACATTTCCCGTATCCTCTTTTTCCAAAAAAAAAAAAACAAAACAAAATTAAGCATAAAAAAAAAGGGAATAAGTCTCTTGTTCTCAGTTCATCATGGTAACACGAGCATTATTATTTTGGCGGTGACAAAATGGTGTATTTAAAATATAAAATAAAAAGGGTTCAAGCTTATATTACTACTATTATTATTATTGGTATTATTGAAATGAATCGTCTTGTCCAACAAAGAGCATCTAGACTGGTTACATTGACAATCCCAAGTAGACGATCTCAGGTGAGATCAATGCCTTTCATTCAATGCAATTACTCACAATAATAACAATGTAGACATTTGTCATGTCAAAATCAATGTTTGGAATGTCAAGACGTCAGGTAATTTTTTAAAAAGGAGACACTCACGACAAATTATAGACTAGACAAGTCTAAATCAACTTCATGTGTTTTGGTCTGATAGATATCTCAGGCTAGAATGGGTGCTGGTGTACGTCGGTTGAAAGAAAACGATTCTGGAGCACTTCAGAATTTATTAGAAAAAGTGAATGAAATAGAAAATGAATTTACAGAAATATTCCAGCCGTTCAAACCCCTTGTGAGTGAGTTAACTTGATCAATTAAATAAATAATAAAATAATTCAGTTATATATAATTAGATATATATATATATTATCCACACTGTACAGAATTGCTCTTTTATTATTATTATTATTATTATTTTGAGTTTGGGTTTTTCATTATACTCACTTGCACATATACAAACACACATACAAATACATGTTCATATACGCACAGACACACACATGCAAAGCTTACTGTACAGCAGATGCATACCAGATAAATTTATTGAAGCCCATGGTTGCAGATTCACCTATCTACAGCCTTGTGCCAGAGATTGCAGACGACATGTTGCACATATCAGTGGGTGCAACCAGTGGTGGGGGTGAAATTTTTGTGTGTGCAGATGGTACTTTTACAACGTGGGCTGTTAGTGATCAGACCAGTCAGCACTTTTTGGACAACTTCGTTCGTTCTGCAGTCGAAATACGATCAAAGTCTACAATCGAGACAGAAATCATCAACTTTGTAGTAGATGAAGACGAGTAAGACCTTTGCATTTTTGTATTTTTTTAATGGGTTAATTCAAATATATATATATACTTATAGAAATAGGCAAAAAAAAAACAGAAATTTAATCAAGTGTAATAAATTTATATAATATTTTTTTCAAGGCTCACAAACGTTAAAGGAGACTTGATCTTACTCAACCCTTATTCACCATCGCCTCAATTTTCTAAGGCAGCATTCTCACTTGCCCTGGGCCGTGCAGCAAAATTGTCTACCTTTGAGTCATCCATGGACAAATATCTGGCTTCAATTGAAGATATTCCAATCAAATTGGCTAACGGAGAAAGAGCTCTGTCGAGCTCAAAAGAATCTCGGGTCCTGGAAGCCAAATTGATGTGTTTACACCAGCAACTTGGTATGAATGCTACTGATGGCTTCCTCGAAACTCCAGATTTTCAATGGACACAACCTGAATTGCAAGGTAAGCAAGAAAAAAGAGATATTTCCAAGATAATAAGAATAACAAGAATAATAATAATGTCTAATATACTTGTTTATTTGAATATATACAGAATGCTACACAAAACTATCATCTTCATTAAATATACAGCCGAGAATTAAGATCGTACACAAGCAACTAGGCAAGTACTATATACACATTCAAACATATACATTTATTTGTGACATTATCAAAGTATAAATGACTAAACTTGATTTTATTTGTATTAGATTATTGCTCAAAGATAATTAATCTGCTCAAACATTAAGACCTTAGTAAACGTACAGTACTTTTACAATCTTCTATAGTAGCCATACTGGGTGACCAATTGGCTTTTCTAGTAATCTAATATTTTGCTATATTACTTGATTATAGCCAAAATCTAAACAGACAAAAAATAAGCACTCTTTTATCTTTAAAATCTACACTTGAAATAAAAACAATAGAAATCATAATGTTATATATTGCAATACAATACAATCCAATTTAATAAAAAGACACACAATCCATCTCCAACTTACTGGGTCCAGAAATAAAAGGTTGTGACTTGTAAAAATAAACAGTTCTTGATGCCCGACAAATTTTTTACCTTTTTTTTTTAATTTTTTTTTGTGAGTTTCTCGAAACACCTCTTAATTCTATACAACATCATGAGCGTTATCGGCATTAACTTTGGTACAGCCTACACCTCCATTGGCTACGTCAACAAGGTCATTATAAAACGAATCCTACAGAGAATATACAAAATCCGAAATTGTTACTGATGCCTACTTTAGGAAGGACGTGCTGATTGTCTCGCCAACGAAGAAGGTGATCGTCAGATCGCCTCTGTTCTCGCTTTCCACGGAACCGAGGAGGTGCGTACATTTTTTCTTTATAAAAAAGAAAAGAAAACAAAAGAAAGATAATAAATATATATATAGATGTATATGTATATAATATTTGTGTACAAAGTAACCATATTATTAAACTAATATAAAATCATGTATGTCTTTTTGCTTTGTTTATTTAAATAATCTAGGTCGTTGGTTCCCAAGCCAAGTCTGAGATTGCTCGTCACCCCAAGACCACTGTTGCTAACTTCCGTGCTGCCCTTGGCAAGAGGTAAATATATGCGAATATTTGGGTAGTTTTGTGTGCATAGCCTCTACAAGAAATATATTGGAGAAATGGATAGAGATATATAGAGAGAGAGCAATGATAGAAGAAGAAGCTAATAATCTGTATTTATTTATTTGTCACTATATAATAATAATAATAATAATAATAATAATAATAATAATAATAATAATATAATCTATTTAGCTTTGCAGAGGCCGAGAACTTGACCGGCTCTGCTGCTCAGATCGTCAACAAGGACGGTAAGCCCGCTTACGAAATCGAGTTCGAGGAGAAGAAGGAGGCTTTCACCGCCAAGACCATTTCCACCAAGTTCTTCTGCCACATCCGCGAATCTGCCGAGCAGTTCTTGGGTGGACCTGTCGCTGGTGTTGTCATGGCCGTGCCATCTTACTTCACCGACAAGCAGCGCGAGGAATTGTCTGCTGCTGCCGAGGATGCCAAGCTCAAGGTCATCCAGCTCGTTCACGAGTCTGCCGCCGCTGCCGTTGCCTACGGTATCGGTCAGGAGTCTTCTTCCAAGAACCCCCAGGACAAGACCATCGTTGTCTGTGACCTGGGTGCCCACTCCTTCGATGTCACCGTCCTTACCGTCCGTTCCGGTATCTACTCTGTCGTCGCCACTGCCCACGACACCAAGCTCGGTGGTAGCTCCTTCGACGATCTCCTCATTGCTCACTTTGCTGCCGAGTTCAAGAAGAAGACTAAGGTCGACATCAACGCCAACGCCAAGGCTCTTGCCAAGCTCCGTGGTGCCGTCGAGGTTACCAAGAAGATGTTGTCCAGCGCCACCTCCGCCCCTTGTTTCGTTGAGTCCCTTGCTGAGGGTTTCGATCTCCACGGTACCATCAACCGTATGCGTTTCGAGATCATGTCCAACAAGGTCTTTGCCCGTATCCAGGAAGTTATCCGTGAGGTTCTTGGCAAGGCTGATCTTGATCCCTCTGAAGTTGATGAGGTAAATATTTGTATACATACATATATACATATGTGGGTGTGTGGGTGTGTACATTGAACAGGTAACTAAAAATATTATAAACTTTTTTCTTTTCTTTCTTTGGTCTTAGGTTCTCCTTGCTGGTGGTGCTGCCCGCGTCCCCAAGTTCGCTGTCAAGATCCGCGAGACCTTCTCTAGCGAGCAGACCAAGGTCCGCTCCGAGTTGGAGGCCGATGAGGTCGTCGCTCGTGGTTGTGCCATCCAGGGTTCCTTGATCGCCGGTTTCGAGAAGGAGGACATTGATGCTTCCACCCACCCCGTTGTCACCCTTGTGCCCCACACCCAGAAGGCCATTGGTGTCTTGAACGCCAACAAGGAGTTTGTCACCATCATTCCCCGTGGTACTGCCCTCCCTGCTCGTCGCGTCTTCGAGTTCAGCAACTCTGCTGACAACCAGACCCACGCCTACCTTGCTCTCCACGAGGGTGAACACACCATTGAGAAGACCGAGCTTCCCGCCGAGGCTGTCGAGGATGATGAAGAGCCTCTTGAGCCCGAGGTCATCACCAAGGTCGTCACCAAGCCTGCCACTCTCTTGGCTGAACTCAGCCTTCCTCTCCAGCACGGACAGAAGGCCAAGGCAAGCAAGGTCGAGGTCCAGGTTACTGTTGATGCTGACAGCAAGTTGAACGTTGTTATGCGCGAGAAGAACGGCACTGGCATTGTCAAGGCTGAGATTGCCAACAAGAAGTAAAACAAAAAACAAAAACAAAAAAAAATCACACATAAAATGAAACCCTTCTTTACAAGAAACATATTAAAAAGTATTCAAAGATGATATCTTTTCTTTCCATTCCCCTTCTTCTTCTTCTTCTTTACTTCATTCTCCTTTATAAAAACAAGAGCATAAAAAGAAAGATTACATTAAATATATATATATATATATATTTGTCAATATTGTTTTGATATATATATGAAAAAGGCAAATTATTAAAGATATATATGTGAGTGCGAGTGAGTTGTAAGTTGTGTGTTGTGAATTGTGAATTGTGAATTGTGTAAGAGAGATATAAATAGAGATTGCGAGTGAAATATATATAAAAAAAAGATGTATGATATATAAGGTGAATTGGTGGGAAATTGTGAAAAAGTTGCGAGTTTCAAAGATTAAAAAGAAAAAGAAAATGGAAGAACAAGAAGAGGTTCTTTGTTCTTCTCTTGACTTCCTTTTAAGATGAATATTTAATAAGCTCGAGTGGTAGTAAACTTTTGACTCATGGCCTCCTTCATCATACCCAGCTGAATTTCAGAGTCTTCCAAGTGTCTCGTGGCTTCAAGAAGCGACTCCTCGCGCTCGTTGAGCAATGTGCGTAGGCGGGCAATATCATCAAGACTTTCGGCCAGACGCTGCTTGAGGGTGGCAGCTTCATTACGTGCTTTGAGATTGGCTGCCTCAAGCTGAGACACCTTGATGTGGACCTCAGACAGGTTCTGGCTCGCAGAACTCTGTCCGGCCTGCAAGGACAAGGCCTCTGTCAGTTGTTGTGTGAGATCTGCCATTTTGGCGGTGTTCTCGCGCATCTGAGCTTCCGCGCGGGTCGCACGTCCGTGCCACATCGACAATTCCTCTAGTGCGCGCTGGTGGGCCTCTTGTGCCTCTTCGGCTCGTTCGTGAGCTTCTTTTGCTCGTTCTTCGGCCGAAAGTCTTGCCCCGTGGTCGTGCTGGGCTCTACGTTGCAGCTGCTGCAACAGTTTTCCGTTACTTTCGTTTTCCTTCAGAGTGGTCGTCAGTCGACGCTCGAGTAAGGCCGCACGCTCGGTTTCTAGTGTAGCCAGCTCATCTTCTTGGCGCGATTTTAGTGCCAGATATTTGGACTTGAAATAGGCGGCTTCCTGAAGGGCGGCTGTGCGAATACGGTCCGCCTGAGTTAATTTATCCGACATTGGCTGAGCTTGCTGCCCAATGCTTGTACGCACCCGGCGTAATTCGGCCTTCACGGCAACAAGCTGTTCAAACACGATCCGCTTGTCGTACTGCAGGTCCTGAAGAGACATCAGCATAGCCTCATCTGAATCCACGTCTGACATCTCTCCTTCGATCGCACGTTGTTTTCGAGCCAACGATACCTCGGTGCGCCACCACTGTTCCTTTTTCTTCATGTCCTGGATTACTTGATCGCGGGATTTGATTTCACGCAATAAGTTGACACGTTCCTCATTATTTTCTGCAGATTTGACTCTCTGTTGGGCCTGCTGTTGTTGCAATTGTTGCTGCAACTGTTGCTGAGCCTGCTGGGCCTGTTGGGCCTGTTGAGCTTGCTGTTGTAGCTGTTGTTGCAATTGAGCCTGTTGTTGTTGCTGCTGTAATTGAGCTTGCTGCTGCTGCTGCTGCTGCTGTTGCTGGTATTGCTGTTGTTGGTATTGTTGTTGATGGTATTGTTGCTGCTGGTACTGCTGCTGTAATTGGTATTGCTGTTGCGCATCAGGACCTTCTACAGGGCTATTTTCATAAGAAGATGTCTGCTGGTAAGTTGGAATAGGTCCAACAGGTTGTGGGGGTGCTTGTTGCTGTTGACTTGTCTCAGAAAAACTGCGTTCGTCAATAGAATGGGAGTCTGGAAGGGATTCAGTACTGTGGGCAGCGACGGTATTACGATAATTGTTTGCGAGATTGACACCTTCACGCGATGGTCGGGGCGGAGGCGACAGAGGGCCGAGTGTGTTGCGAGATTGAATGATACGCTGGGCTGGGGGACGCTGTTGTCCTAATTGGACACGATCAAGAGATTCGACTGAGTGGTCATCACTGAGTGTACCCATCAAATTACGCTGCATGTGAGGTGGGCCGTACACGTCTAAGGTTTCGCTGGATTCAGTAGAAAAGGTTGGGGAGAGTGGAGGGGCAGGATGACGACGAAACTCGGAATTCATGTCTCCGTCTATCTGTGGCATAGGAGAGGTAGCCCTTGGGCGTCTAAGAGCTGCCTCTGGAACTGTAGATACATGACGGGGTGGTCTAGTTGGCTAAATTTTGTAACAAAAAAATGATTAAATTTATTGAATGAATATGATATAAGTCGATAAAATAAAATAAGAGCTTCTTCTAAACATTCACATTGTATGTATATATTTAATGGAATATTACCTGTTTCAATGAATCTAAAGATGCCTTTTGATGCGGAGATCCAGGTGCAATTGTTGAAGAAGTTGACGGGATAATTGTGGATGCAACGGAAGACTGAATTTCTGAATAGATAGGAGAATCCAATTCGCGTGGCAAGCTTGCTTGTATGCTGATGGGTGAAGACTGTTTAGATTGATGTTGAGGTTGCAATGGAGGAGAGCGAAGGGAATTCGAGTGAGATACAGAAGGGTTTGGCTGGGGAGGGGTAACGTTGCATGTTGGAGATTGTGTCTGTGTGTTGGAGTGCACAGACATTGAAGAAGGGGCAAACTCAGAGTCAACAAGGGAGTGAGATGAAGATGTTGATGACAGACTTGGAGCCGGTGGTGCCTGCACTGCCGTCTCGGGAGGGTACCTGATTTTGGCTTTATATATATATAGAAAAAATGTCAAGAAACATTCTATTGATTCTTACAAGGATATATATTATATATTAAATAAGGAGAGAATCTTACCACTGTCTAATACGAAACCCATGACAGCATCGTCAAGTTTACCAGCAACGGATTCACCACCGAAAACATACATCTTTTCGCGCACTGCTGTCATAGTAAGACCATGACGAGGAGCTGGAGCTGGACCCATGTTTTGGAACATGAACCAACGCTGGCCTGACAGGTAAATTCAAATAAATATTAACAAACATACACATAAAAAAACAGATATATATATATATATATATATATATATATACATGTTTTGGTATTCAATGAACTTTGAAAAATATGGTTGCTTACTTTTAATTTTAAAGGCGCACAGGTCACCAAGATCTTGTCCTTCTGGACCTCTACCACCAATTACATACATCACATCGTCTACAAGACATGCTGAACATCCTTCGCGTGGGACGGGAATATAGCCTGCTGCAGACACCTGAATCCACAGTCTGGTTTGGAAGTCATATGACCAAATGTCGTTGTACAAATGATCGCCATCTGTACCTCCAAAACTGAAAAGAAAATGAAAGTATGATAATAATAATGTGGCTACTTTGTTAGTAATTATTATTCCACACAGACACACAAGCACCTCTTTTTGTAGTTGTTGTTATTGTTGCTGTTGCTTTGTTCCAGAAAAAAAAGAACTTTAGCACAATCCTTACATATAGAATTTGTTTTCAAAAATTACAGAAACATGGCCTGATCTTGCAGCAGGACCTTCATTGATGGCCGATAAAAACTCCCAACGAGGATTAGTAGGATCTGAATAAAAAGCATGTAAATTACACATTTATTCTTCTTCTTTTTTTTTCGAGTGGCGAAATTAAGCTTACAGTTGCTGGTGTTAAAGGCCAGCATATCATCCAGGTATCGTCCTGCACGTTGTCCACCCCATATGTAAACTACACCATTAGCAGTAAAAGCTGAATGGCCTGAGCGTTCGACCGGAACAGGTCCTTCCATTTGTATACGCAACCATTGGCGAGCACCTTGATAAATTAATAAATAGTTAATATATATATATATATATATTATAATGCAATTAATTAATTATTAATTATAATAAATAAATAATATAGTATAGTATATATTGATAATTGCACTTACTTGGATTCAAGATATAAAAATTTGGATCCCATTTATCGTCAGGTACAATAGGTTCGCCACCATACACTGTAAATATAAATTTGTTTTTTTAACGAATTTTATTTTTCTCTCTCTTTATATTTATATATTATATTTATATAATCTATTGAAATTCAATCTTATCAGATCCAATTGAGCTTACTTAATACATGGCTACCAATTGCAACAACAATAGGATAATTTCTAGGGCCAGGAACATCACCACTTGTGTTAATTGTACTTGCAGAAAGGTTGTCTGATAATTCAAAATTAAAATTCAAAATAGAAAGATGAATGAATATTTTATAGGATATATTTAGACGCTTTTAATAATAATCGTTTGATTCGATGGGTCCGAGCGAGTTGTCGTAGGCTTACTTGTGTCTATAAAGAGCAAGTCTTTTTTACTCGAGCCTTGATGTACACCACCAAAGACAACGAGATTATCCGAGGGTAATGCAGCTGTTGCATGTCCGAATCTCGGAAGGGAATTACTTGTGCCTCCCAACTTGCGTTGAGACCAAGGAAAGATTGTCTTTTCGCTACTTTTGGTAAGTTTCGAAAAGAGGGTCATTGCTGGATGAGATCAAGATGATTCAGGGATGATTGAAATAAATATTTATATATAAATGTTTTTCTTTAATAAAAAAGATGTGAATTAACTAAGAATAATATATGAAGCACGGCTGCCAGAGTTAATGAAGCACGATGCCTTTTGCCCAGATGAGGTGCAAAGAAATATATATAAAATATTAATAGAAAGAGAGAGAGAGAGAGAGAGGGAATATGGAGTTTAGAAGAAGTTTGATGAAAAGGAAAGTAAGTTGTCTGAGTTTGATCGACGTTAAAGTCTCTTCTCACTTGGAAGTTATAAAAAAAAATTAATAATAATAGTATAATCCACACCAGGCAATTAGCAAAAAAAAGACAAGTCTCGTTTGGGTGCACACAGCTTTTCTTGGTTATTATTTTAATCCCGAATAAACCACGTGTGTGGCTATTTCAGGTAGAACGAGTTTTGGTTAAAGAAGTAGACCTTGAGTGAATTCTTGTAAATCTGTACTGACCAAATATAACGTGGACCCTGGAGGATTTCTATATTTTATATTTTATCCTATTATTTATTTTTATTTTTTTATCAAATTCCAAATATTAATCTTTGATTTTGAATAATGAATATTGTCTTTTGATCTTAATTTTCTTTTTTGATTTGCTTAAATCCTCATAGATTAAACTTACAGAGCATTTTTATCAGATACTCTACAGGTCAATTATATATCAAGCCAAGGTATTCAATATAAAACAACCTCCAATTCAGTAATATATATACGTATTTATGTATGTATGCTACTCTGGCGGCTTACAGATTATAGGTTTCTTTGAATGTCGTGTAACAAGGGAAGAATTGAGATTTGTTAAAGATGAACTAACCAAATATCTAGTCAATAGTCTATTCCACGTGGAATTGCACGGCAATAATGGCCAATGTAAAAGTAACAACCATTATCGTACAATAATAACAGGATTTCTTAGCAGTAAAACCAGATCATAAAGTAATATCTCGGCTTGATTTTTATGTTAATTCAAGCCAGTCACGACTAGAAGACAACAAATTAAAGAAAAAAAGGATTTATTGTCATTTGCAGTACAAGTACTCTTCTAATCAAGACTTTTATTTCCTCTTTAATAAAAATGAAGAGGTGATCTTGGTTGCAAATCGGAAAGGGCGGCTTTTGGTGCTTAAAGATATGAGCTTTAATTATTATCAATGGTAAGTCTCCTTCTTCTTTGGATATCAATCAAATACACTTGCTTTATTTAAACAATAATGATAACGATAGCAGTAATATCTTTGGTATAATTGATTCTATTGAGCCTCTTCATATTCAATTCTCACGCCCATTTTTGTAAGCTCAAGACTTGATTGAACACAAATCCTCAAATAACAAAAGCAGTAAGAAAAGGAGAACAGACCTTAGTAGCTCAAAAACCACAATATTTTGGCTTGTGTTTATCACCATTGTTCAACTCCTCTTTATCACTTGATTTGACATATGAAATATATACATATATATGTATATATGTATCGCCCTCTATTTCATATAGCCCACCTACTCTTCTTTTTGTTATGGGCACAGAATCTAAAACTATGAATATTTACAAATCTCACCCCAGTTAATTGGTATGTAGCAAGAACAACAACAGCAACAACAATAAAAAAAGAATGCTAATTTATAGCTACAAGAATTACATTTTAGGCATCTCAACGCGCGGACCGTGCTAGTGTGGTGCAATTTTATTTTGTGTGATGAACAATATATATACAAAATAAGATGGTGTCTTGGCTTTCTTTATATTATAGCCGATCGAAATCCTCACAGTTTGTTCCTATTATTCCATTTAATGAATAAGAATATCTAGTGGCACAGGCCAAGAAGATACATATATAATATACATTATTCTCCTATACAAAAAAATTAGAGCCAAGAAACCAGGATCGTCTTTGAGGTTCTAAAATGATTATAACAGCTCCCTTGTATTCTTTACTGAATAAATTTACAGTAAATGATGAAGACAACTAATGTATTATAAACGTTCAAATTTTGTGGAGATTATAAAATGATATATATATATATATGTGTGTGTGTGTGTGTAATATAGAGATTCATTATTGAATAAACTCAACCATATTCTCTTTTTCTTCTTCTTCTGAATCTTTTATTCATAATACTATGCTCTGGGTATAATTTCGAGTCATAACCAAGGTATTTTGCTCTTGGATTACTTACTATTCAATTAAGCTTTTTTGTACAAGCTGGTACTGTGTTAAAGGTAAACAATTGGACTTTATTAAATGTAAGTATTAATATTTTCATCAATAATATCAAAGTAAAATAATAACAATTTCTTTATCTCGCAATATATTTTATGTATATAACGAGTAGAACCAGCAATCTGCTTTGAAAATCCCAAAAAAAATGGGATAGCATGGAGTATATGTGACTGCCAATACTGTGCCTTTTTAGAATTTTTTGACTTGCCTTGGCATGTTGGTCTTGAACATTTCTTTGCTTTTGATCTAATGTCTACTGCAGTGATTAACAAGACAACATTGGATGCACCTGCGGGTGTCCAAGGTAGATTAATACCGAGGAATAACCGGACGATGACCTGACATGTCTTATTTCTTAGAAAAAAGCGAGCTGACCAAGCTTCTACAGGATCTCAAAGCAAAGACGATCGAATTGAAAACACAGCTCCAACCAGTCATGCAGAAGCTGGCTGATGGCGAGATCAAGACATCAAAGGGTGTTTCATTCCTCGAAGTGAAATACCAGATCATGATCCAATACATTCTCCAGCTCACTTTCTATGTACATCTCAAATTGTCCGGAAAACAAGTAGAAAACCATCCTGTCGTTAAATCCTTGGTCGAACTTCGTGTAATTCTTGACAAAATGAAGCCTATTGAGGTCAAGCTCAAGTATCAGATCGACAAGCTTGTTCGCACAGCTGTCATGGGTACCCAAAAGGCCGAGACAGGAGCAGTAACAAGTGCTACCGCAGTTGGTGAGTGAACCAGAATACAGACACACGCACGCACGCATATATATATATATATATATATATGATTGTGCATATATTTACAAACGAATTGTGGATCTAACACTTTATCTTATTACTAAAATAATTTATTCATAGCCAACGATCCTCTTGCTTTCAAGCCCAACCCCATGAACTTGTTGAACAGAAATGACGACGACGAAGAAGAAGACGACGGTAAAAATCTGATTTTGTGGATCCAAATTGTGCCGATTATATTTCTATATGTACTGATATCCTATTATGTCTTATATAGATGATACCAATGCCAAGTCAGGCGTCTACAGACCACCTAAGCTTGCCCCAGTCAACTACGATGCAGGAAAGGACAGAAAGTCAAAGGAGGAGAGAAACGAGGAGCGTCTGAAGGAGAAGGCATCGAGATCCAGAGTAATGAAGGATCTGATGGCAGAGATGAATGATGCACCAGAAGAGGTTGATGTTCGTGGTGGCGTCAATGAAGGCACTGGCTACGGTGACCGTGTAGATAGTTTGATTGCTGAGAAGAGTCAGTACGAAGAAAATAACTACGTCCGTTTGGCTGTCACACGCAAGGAAAAGAAGCGCATGCAGTCAAAGAACAAGATGCGATTTGAGAGTGAATTCGATGTAAGAATTATGACTAGAGTTTAGTTTTACATGTATTAACAGCTGTACTAACCTCATGATGTTTGTAGAACCTCAATGATTTCAGCAATTTGGCTGGTATCCAGGATGTAGAGGAACAGGAGAATGAGCGCTTCAGAAACGTCTTGAACCGTAAATCCCAGCGTGCAGAAAGAGACGACGACGATATCGAGGTAAATAATAAAGAATATTGTGTGTGTTCCACAGATTTCAAGACTAATTTTTTAATTTTAATTAATTAGTCTGCTATGTCACGTGGAAACAAGCGCTCAAGGCAAGATGGAGGAGAGGAACAATTCCATGGCATATTGGATGGAAAGAGCGGTGTAAGAAACAAGTTCAAGAAGGCCCGGAAAGTGACCAAGGGAAAAGGAAGAAAATAGATTCAATAAACAACGCATTATCATTACTCGCACAACACAACACACAACACACAACTTTTCCTTTCTGTTACTTTAAGATATTGTGGGAAGTTTATTAGAATAGAATTGAGTAAAGAAAAAAAAATTAGGGTTCAAGACGCTTGGGATCGCGGGGGAACAAGCTGGTGCGGCGAATGTTGCCAAGGGCAAGGTAAAGCATGACAACACGCTCAAGACCAATACCACCACCAGCGTGGGGAGGAGCACCGATCTTGAAGGCATCGATGTAAGGCTGGATGGTTGTAAGATCAATACCGTGAACATTGGCTCTCTCGGTCAAGAAATCAGCATCGTGAATACGCTGGGCACCCGACAGAATTTCCTCACCGCGCATGAAGAAATCGTAAGAGTTGGAGTATCCGGGGTTTTCAGGATCGGGCATGGTGTAGAAAGGTCGGATGGCCAAAGGGAACTTGTCAAGAATATAGAAGTCGGTGTGGTACTTCTCCTTGACGAGCTTACCGAGGAACTTCTCGTTGGGAGTGCTAATATCCCCCAATAATTTAATGGTAGCTTTGTCAGTTAACCAAGCCCGTGATTTCTTTTCTTTTCAATTTACTAAAATATTTATCTTACCTCAAATCTTCAAATTCACCAACCTCGACACCAGCTTCACGGAGCATCTTAACACCCTCAGAGAACTTGAGGCGGAGTGTCTTGGGGAGGAATTCGAAATCTTCAAAGTCGTACTGTCTCTTGACAGCCTCGATCTCCTTACCGAAACGTTGCTTCAAGTTAGTGAAAATGTAGACAAAGAGATCGTCAAGGGTATCAAGGACTTCGTGATAATGTTCCTCGAAAGCCATCTCCATATCGAGTCCCATGAACTCAGTCATGTGGCGATGGGTATTGGAGTCTTCGGCACGGAAGACAGGTGCAATCTCGAAGACACGGCCGAAATCAGCAGCAATGCACATCTGCTTGTAAAGCTGAGGAGATTGTGCGAGGAAGGCATTAGTCTTGAAGTAAGACACCTTAAAGACGTTGGAACCACCCTCAGAGGCAGCGCTGATCATCTTGGGAGTGTGGATCTCCATAAAGTTCTTCTCGATCAAGAACTCACGGAACAACAAGCACACAGCAGACTGGAGACGGAAGATGGCGTTGTTGGTGGTGGTACGGAGATCAAGAACGCGGTTGTTGAGACGTGTGTCAAGGTTTACACGAACAAACTGGCTGTCTTCGTTTTCGTACTCTGATTCAGGACGGGAAGCATCCTCAAGAGAGAAAGCAAGACGGCCCTGGGCCTCGGAAATAACATGGATCTTCTCAATGGCCAATTCAGCATCAGAAATAGTGCAGCTCTTAACCTCCTCTACAGGCTTAACGATCTTGGCTTCTACAAGCACAATAGACTCGGCGGGAATACCAACACAGAACTTAATCATCTGCTTGCTGATCTTGTCGGCATCAGCGTTAATAATACCCTGAACAGTGGACACACCCTGGCGGAATACAAAGAAGCACATCTTGCCACCAGTGGGGCGAGAGGTGTGGACACGAGCACGGATAATGACGGTCTCACCAGCACGGCTGGCATTGATGGTGGTGATATCCTCACGCTTGCTACCTTGCTCAATGCGCATTAGTCCCAAATTTGTGAAACATTGTGTGTATATGACTCACCAGTGCGGGTCTGGGACTGGTTCATGGGAAGCTTTCCATAACGCTCAGTAGAGTAGTCCTAAATGAAACCTGTAAGTATGAGTCACAAAACAGACAAGACCGCAGCTCATTCCACACTCACGACGTTTCCAGCTTCTCTGCTAGCCTTTTCCTCAGCAAGCTTTGCGGCGGTAGCAGCCTTTCGGTCGGCCTTCTCCTTCTCCTTCTGGAGCTTCTTCAAAGCCTTCTTGGAGATAGGCTTACCTTCGTCACTAATACTAGGTGTCAATACGACTCTTCTTTTTCTCTATGTTTGTGGGTTTGTTCCATTTACTCAAAAACGAGGTCTTCAGTCTTTTGGGTGATCTCCTCAACGGGTTCCTTGACAGGCTCAGACATTTTTCGTATTCTTAAAGGTTGCTTTAATAGCGCTCTTGAGTGAAAGGAAGAAGTGCGTGTTGTAAAAAAAAAATTTGTGAAGGGGAAGTGCCGGGAGGATGGGGAGCGGTGACGTGCAAAAATGGATCGAGTCACACCAAACTCAGCTGCTGGGTGTCTCATCAGGAACTGGGAGACAACGTCTTTTAGAAACAAGGAGCAGAATTACAATTACTATGCTTTGGAACCGTTCAGTTGTCATTTAGAATACAATACTTTGGAAAATTACCCTAATAAGGAGTGTGTGTATATTAACACATATCCAAGTCAAAGACCAGAATATAATTCAATATATATTATATATTATGGTAACAAGTGGTGAATCTGGTGGAGACTTTAAAAGGTTCCTATAGTACTTTCCAAAACCATCATCGAAATCACCACGTTTTTTTATGGTGTACTTTAAATTTCAAAAATCTAGATTTTCGTGATTTAATAGAAAAGTACAAAAAAAAGCTATTGCAGGAAACCAATTATGAGCCCATATATTTCCGATTCGGACAACAAAGAGTACTATACGAGTGTGCGAAAATTAACACATACAAAAACTCTGTGACGCTAAAATTTGGAGACATTTTTCTTATATTTATTATTCAACTTACACAACAAAGAAGACAGGGAAAAGAAGATAAGATAAGAGTTTGTAAAAGGATAAAATATCCGGAAAAAAAACCATCAAAGCTATTATATACGGAGTCTACACAGCCATACATGAGCTTGAGACTTTCTCTAGATTTTGATGACTATAAGAACTTGCCTACAAACCTTTTTGGTTACGCGCCAATCTCTTATCTCAGAGTTATTCAATATATACGATATCAGTCCAAAACTTAACAAACGAAGTTTTTACTATAAGTGCAAATTAAACTCTACGAAGCATTTGAAAGAATATTTAAAACTGCCTCAGATTTGCTAACGATCAAATTTCATTTCCTTCTCATACTTTCCGCTTAGAAAAGCATATATTTCTTCTTACACAGCCATATATACCATAATCCTAAATAATACAAATCTTACACGGCATTATGGACTCAAAATTGGAAAAAGATTATGTTTTGAGAAAAGTAGTCAATTTGTCATGTAAAGCATTCAAAGATCAAGGCTCAATGAAATCTTGTAGTATAATCCAGACCGATACTGTGGGTACGTCCATGTTTAAACAAAGATCGAAATAGGATAAAAGATAGAATACAAGGTATTTCCCATTTTCTTGCAAAAAAGAGACGACAGCTGTATTAATAGGCAAATTAAAAACACGTTAAGATACTTCAAGAGATAACCGAAAGTTGTGTATACATATATCTTCTGGTCAAAGATATGTGCTCTTTTGTATACAAGAAAAAACTGTAGAAGCATGAATTATGGAAGTCTATATTGTTATACTTCAGATGAGCATTATCAATAGACTAAAGACAAGAAACTTCAATAAATTAAGACAAGAAGCTTGAATCAATCCAGTAATGGGAAACCTATTCCTCAAATCACGCGACCGCAACAGTAGATCTGGAAAAGTTTTTAGATCATTAAAAGCAAAATCCAAAGCTATTGAAGCCTTTTCAAAGTGTTACGCAAAAGAAAACAAGCGTCATAACAATGCAAAACTTCCACATTTTTAAAAATGAAAAGCGTCAGATTTCATAAGCAACAAACAAGTCAATGCTTGGCTTATGGAAACATTTTGCAAAAAAAAATCTGGAGAAAATTATATACTACTTATTGGTTACTGGGTAGCAAGAAATAGGAAGTTTTATGAATAAATACGTGGAAAGGGTCTTTAGAGAATGTTCAGACCTGAAACATCTTTATGAATTAAAACTTTTCAAAAAGAAAATCCAATAAAGATCTTTTTATGTTCCACTTATTTTTTTCTATGTATTTATTTCATACTTTCCAAAAATAAATAAAGGTGTCTAATATATATTTCTAAATACAAAAGCTTGTATTCTGCTTTGACGTACATTCGGATTAAAAGCGGCTCTTATGATTACTTGAGTGATGCACTTGAATACCATGTATTTAGCGAGTCTGTTTCAAGAAGATCTCTGGAGGTATGGGTCCCAGAATTGTTAAACCTTTTTTTTGGTAATTTAGATGGTTCCAAGAATAAATCAAAATCAATATTATATATATATAGAGGCATTTAGTCAAACCAAGGTTTCAAGCGTAGAATAATTTGAACTAAGTGTTCAAAGACATAATAAATAATATATAAGCCTTGTGGATATCCGGCAAGTTTTCAAATGACGCAGAGCAATGAGAAGTAAGAAGTAAAAGTGTATCAATAAAAAAGAAGAGTTGATGATGCCCTTTTTTAGAATGGCAAGAAAGAAGAGTAAATCAACAATATATATAAATATAAACGAAACCCTGTTGTCACGGATACACCCTGGTCAATAATAGAAACTTATTCAAACTTACTTTTGTTAGTGTGCTAATAGTAACCAGATATAAAATGAATATATAGCTGAAGTAAAATATTAGAGGTGTTATCTAGTGGAAAATTGAATAATTTATCCATTTTCAATTGAAACGTCGACTTAATTTCCAATAACTGTTATACGTTTTTTTCAGTTGATGCGATTTAGTGGAAAATGTAAGTGGAAAATTAGGAAATTCGTAATTTTCCACTTACATTTTCCATTAAATATTTCCTCAAAATCAAGCTTATTCTCTCGCTCTCAAATTAAGGTATAGGGTGGCCAGGAGGGCCTATTGTATAGTTATTTAATTAATTTAATTTCTAAAGGTCAAATTTATTTAAAAAAAAAAAAAAAGATTGAAATTTATGAAGATTTATTTTTCTTATATTTGACACAGTATGATGTTCTCATCAATTGATAAGTTTCCATAACTGCTGCCGGAGTGCTTTGTTTTTTACTGGGTTTGTCCAATCTTTATTTTTTAGCAGCCACACTTTTTCCATTAGATAACATATCCTCTATTTATACTTCTTTCCTCTTCATTTATCTCATTTAACAGAAAAACGCCACGTTTACTATCACTCCTGTTATATACGGCTATTATTTGGGTCCTAAAAGCACTCGATATACCACTTCTAAGAAGAGAGATACTTATGAGTGCCTTCATCTGACAGCTCTTTTTGATAATACATACAAGGAAGAGTTCCAGTTTACTCTTTCTGAGGTTGCTATTTTATTAAGCCACTGATTGATTCGTTAGAAAAAAATATATCACAGATAGACTTTTAACTTTATATAAGCTAGATTATGTCGACTAATATTATTCTGTTGGAATGGTAAAGTATAGAGCTTGAAAAGATCAGTTTTTTATTTTAGAGCCTTGATTTTTTAATTAATCAAGTCTCCATTGACAGATGATTAGTTTATAGCTTGTTTAGTCTGTTAGCTTTTATAATTTAGAAATTACGTGGAAAAAATATATGTTATCCTATTTATCAGATCACTTTCAGACACTAAAAACATTGTTTTCATGCTAGGGATATTCTGGCTGAATTTTCCCTAATTTACGGTCATTTCTGCCAGAATATCCCTAGAAGTGTCCCGGGGCAAAAGTAAAAATGGTAAAAGTCTGGGCAATTTAAACCAAGGAAAGTCCGTAGGGACAATATTTTCAAATTTTCTCTGAGTTGTCCCCTTCTCTAGTATGAAGAATAGGCTACTGGCTATCATAAATTTTGTTTTGAAGTGGGAAAAATAAGCCCAACTTTTACTAGACATTTAGTGAGAATTTGAAGTCAAAAATCAGGGAATCCCTAACTTTTGGCTTCAAATGCTCACTAAATGGCCTCCACCATGAAATTTGCAAAACAAATATTGGAATTTAATTCACCGCGTAAAATAAAAATTTGCAAACGTTTGCAATACAGGCTCGAAGACACCCTCTCTAAAGATAGAGAAAAGAAATGAAGTGTAAAGATCGACTTTTATTGTTTTCATCTTTCCAAATTTATATAGATATTTTGATAATTAATAAAATTGATTAAGTAGTAGGATATTTTCAATATGTTTGGATAAACTGCGCTTATTTTGATATTTAAGAATAATAAAGATAAGCTAAGTAATAATGTGAGAGCACGGCTGGGGTTTATTGTTACAAGCTTTTATAATCTTTTCAATTGCTTTCTATGCCAACAGTAACTATTCTGCTTTTCCCAGGAACATGCCTTGAATCAGTTTGTACATAATTAATACAAAGAAGATATGGAAAGATATGATATATTTAGGTCGCCTAGGGTATTAAAGGCATATGTAACGTGTTACTAGAATTAAATAAATATAATTATACGTATTATATTTTGTCGAGAACTTAATAGAATATAAGAAAGATGCTATCTTAAATAGCAGGAAGCTTCAGAAATGCCCAATGTTAGTTTATATGTGTATTTAAGCGAGCTAACCAAATGATATAAGTATTTAAATAAGTCGTTTTGTGCTTCTTAGCAAAACAGCTTGAGAACTACCGAACAGAGAGGAAGAAAAGCAGATAGTGATGCCTTGGGTGTTCGAGAAATCTTTATTATTATAAAGCTATTTTTCTATTAAAGCACAACAGTAAAATGCGATTGATTTTAACACATCTTCTATCAAATAAACCCAACGTGCGATCGTAAAAAAAAGATGGCTGGAATTTATATCATAAATTTGGTATACACACCACAATTGAGTGAATGCACACTCAAAAACTAAACTCTGCTTTATGCTTGTTAATAACCCAGGCAGATTAACAGTCTTAGGAGCTGTTTCGCATCATGTGCATGTATACTTTGCTCTAATACATTATAAATCAATCCTTACAACAGGTATTTGAATTACAATGGAATTTGGATAGTAATAAATATAATAAAATAGAATATTTTACCGGTTATAAAGGTTTATATTTTAATGATTCAATTAGAGAACCCGTTGGGATGTGATATTTTCAAAGACTGCTAAAAAAGAATTATTGGTGAAACCCAGTCAAAAAAAAAAGAAAAAACTCAACCACAGTTGATAAAAACATAAGTACTGTGACAAACATA